CCCCCTGCCACATCCAGCTGTCCAGGTGGCATATGTGCGGCCTGCAGAAGGGGCGCTTCCACCCTCACCCCTCCTGGCCCTGCTCCTGGGAGTGGGCACAAAGACATGCTTCCTAGCCCCTTCCCTCTCCACCACCCTGCCCCTTCCCCCACACACAGGTACCTGTTGGGGGTGCACCTCTGCATCTGCATGTGTGTATCTGTCTCCTGCTTGCTTGGCAGCAGCAGGCACATGGTGTCACGTGACTTGGGGCAGTGGCAGCGGGGTGCTGAGTCTAGCCTGCAACAGTAGCTGCCTCCGCCCCACTCACAGATCTGGGGGGCACGTGCCCCCTGGACCTCTGCTGGGGTTCACGCAGTGACAGGAGCCGCCCCCATGCCCCCCAGATTAACCTTTCTCGCAGCTCCGTCCGGCACTCCATCCCAGGTGTGCAGCCCCAACCCCAGCCCTACTCCTTCCCTCACCATGGGGTCCTCGATCTGCCCCCCCCCGCCGCCCCTTAAAAACAAGACAAAAATATAAAGGGGTACATGAGCTGAAACTTTGAGGCAGGAGGGTATACTTGTTAAAAAAGGTCAGGGGTTTTCAATCTAAAACAGTGTTCTCAACTGGGGGTCCATGGCCCCCTTGGGGGCCACGAGCAGGTTTCAGTCTTTGATATCTCTCATGCCTGAGAGATGAGAAGGTGGGAGAGCAGCAGTTGGGTGCCAGCTGCTTCCAGGTAAGGGGCTTGGGCAAGGCACTCTTCATGCTGGGCTTCTGCTGGCTGAGCCCGGTGCTGTGTGAGCTGCAGGGACAGGTGGCTGGCTGCGCAGTGGTGTCGGTACAGAAGCCTGGCGACCTCTTGGAGTGCACCTTCTCATGTGGCACCATCCACCCATCTGCATCCTGCTGCTCCTACAGCTCCCTGTAGTTAAGTCTTGAGGGGTTGTGGGGGGTGGGGATGCCTTCCCCCACAGATTTCTGCACCCACAGTGGGCATGGGGCTGCAACCTGGTCAGACCGGCATGGGCAGAAGCCGCCTCTGCAGCCCAGCAGGCAGACCCGGTGCGGGAGGGCAGAATGGGGTAGTGAGACTCATTGGGACCCCCCTCACCAGCCACACCACTAGCAGCACAATAACTACTGACCGGGGGGAGAGGGGACCATGCTGCCTTCACCTCTTCCTGCTACCAGAGGGGAAGTTGGGTGGGGGGCAGGGCAGGTGGCCTGAGAGGAGCAACAGCAGGGGTGGGAGATTGTGGGTTTGGAATGAGAGGTACTGGGTGGGGTGGAGGGCTGCGGGTTGCGAGTGAGGGAGGCCTCAAGTCCAAAAAGGTTGAGAACCAATGATCTAGAATATCGTTCCTATATCCATGCATTAGATTGAGCCAGATAATTCTTGAGGTCCCATCCAACCCTATGGTTCTGTGTGCGTGTGTATACACACACGCACACATGCACGCCCACATGTACTGATCAACTTGTTATGCCTGGAGAATAGAGATTTCTCTATGGCAGTGAGTAAACTCTATAATCTTTCGTGGAAGGTTGGTATTTTCTTCTGGTAGATTACAGAAGCATAGAAAATTAGGGTTGGAAGGGACCTCAGGAGGTTATCTAGTCTAACGCCCTACTCAAGGCAGGACCATCCCCAACTAGCTCATCCCAGCCAAAGCTTTGTCCAGCTGGGTCTTAAAAACCTCTAAGGATGGAGATTCCACCATCTCTCTGGGTAACCTGTTTCAGTGTTTTAATACCCTCCTATTAAGCAAATTCTTCCTAATATCTAACCTAAACTTCCCTTGCTACAACTTGAGACCATTGCTCCTTGTTCTGTCATCTGCCACTACTGAGAACAGTCCAGCTCCATCCTCTTTCAAACCCTCCTCTGGTAGTCGAAGGCTGTTATTAAGTCTCCTCAAAGTCTCCTCTTCTCTAAACTAAATAAGCCCAGTTCCCTTGGTCATTCCTCATAAGTCATGTCCTACAGCCCCCTCACCATTTTTGTTGCCCTCTACTGGACTGTCTCCAATTTGTCCACATCCTTTCTGTAGCGGGGCGCCCAAAACTGAACGCAGTACTCCAGATGTGGCCTCACCAGTGCCGAATAGAAGGGAATAATCACTTCCCTTGACCTGCTGGCAACGCTCCTACCAGTGCAGTCCAGTATGCTGTTAGCCTTCTTGGCAACAAGAGCACACTGTTGGCTCATATTCAGTTTATCGTCCATGGTGGCCCCCAAGTCCTTTTCTGCAGAGCTACTCCCCAGCCAGTCACCCCCCCCCCCCCCCCCCCCCCCACCCACACTCGGGGACATTTTATTGTTCCATCCTAAGTGCAGGACTTTGCACTTGTCCTTGTTGAACCGCATGAGATTCCTTTTCCAATCCTTCAATTTGTCGAGGTCACTCTGAATCCTAGCCCTAGCCTCCAGCATATCTACTACTCCCCACAGCTTGGTGTCATCAGCAAACTTGCTGAGGGTGCACTGTGTGTCATCTTCCAGGTCATTGATGAAGACATTGAACAAAATCAGCCCCAGGACCAACCCCTGGAGCACTCCACTTGATACTGGCTGCCAAGTAGACATCAAGCCAAGACATCTACTGCCAAGTAGACGTTGATTACTACTCTCTGAGCCCAATGCTGTAGCCAGTTTTTTATCTGCCTTACAGTCCATTCATCCAGCCTACAGCCTTTGTGCACATAGACTTTGTTTTCCATATAGGATTGTACAATAGGTTTGCATAGACAAGTTGCCAATTTAAGTCTTTGATATCCAACTGGCCCAGTTTGCGGACGACACCAAGTTACGGGGAAGCGTGGTCACGCTTGAAGATAGGCTACAGTTACAGGTGGATGTAGACAGGCTAGTAAGTTGGGCGGATTGGAACCTGATGAATGTCAGTGTTGAGAAATGTAAAGTGCTCCAGCTTGGGACGAGCAACCCCCAAACACACTTACAGGCTTGGCAGTACCAAACTGACTAGCACCACAAATGAAAGGGTCCTGGGGGTAATAATAGACCACAGTATGAATATGAGCTGGTAGTGTGATGCTGTAGCTAGTAGGGCAAATAATACTGTGGTATGCATCAATCAATGCATCTCCAGCAAAGCCAAGGAGGTGATTCTTCCACTCAGCTCTGGTGAGACCGCATCTGGACTACTGCATCCGGTTCTGGGCACCACACTTTAACAAGGACATGAACAAGCTTGAGAGGGTCCAAAGAAGAGCCACCCATATGATCAGAGTCTTACAGCAAGCCATACAAGAAAAGGTTGAGGGATCTGGGACTCTTCAGCCTGAGGAAAAGAAGGCTGAGAGGGGACCTGGTAGCAGCTTACCACTACACTAGGGGAGTACATTAAGGACTTGGTGAGCAACTGTTCACCAGGGCACCTGAGGGGAAAACCAGGAGTAATGGCCACAAACTCCTAGAAGATCGATTCAGGCTCAACATTAGGAAAAACTTCTTCACAGTCGGGGTGTCCATACAGTGGAATAAGCTCCCTCCAGAGGTGGTGCAATCACCTACCCTGGAAATCTTCCAAGAGGAGACTACAGTCACCTTGCTGGGGTCACCTGACACCCAGTTATCTTTCCTGCTTGGTGCAGGGGGCTGGACCCTATGATCTTCTGAGGTCCCTTCCAGCCTTACAATCTATGAATCCCTTGTGAAGGAGAAGTGAGGGCCTTGTCATGCCCTCCAAGAACATATCACCTACTTTTCCTTGTTTCACGGTGTGCTGGTAACCTTCTGGAGTTTAGCATAATAATAGGCTGACACCTGTTGTGTTGTGATACTTCAAGGGCAAACACCAGAGTTAGCTGGTTGCTAAATACTAGTGTCATTTACTAGGTACATACTAATGGCCCATTGATCTTGGAAGATCACTTATCAGCACTCTTTTTTTCTAACTGCTAAATAAAAATACATAGCGTAACAGGTAAGAGCAGTGGGAGTTGACTGTCTCCAGGCCAGTTGCTTAACCTCTGTCTTTGCCAAGTCCCACATTCTACCACCATTTACAAGGATCCTTTTGCAGCTTGATTGTAAAATAGACAGGAATTTCCTCTTGAGAGGTTATACATAAGTGCAGAATGTTTCTGGCTCCATGACTAGTTGAATAGCATCTTTTGAAATTCAAGGGTTCAACAGCAAATGTAACTAAAATGTCTTTACTATCTGTCTTACCTTTTGGAAGCAGGTGAAACCACCCACCTCCCACCAGTGACTGGCTTAATTCAAACAAAAAAGAAAACAGCAAAGCACTGCTTTTTCTGTGGCAAGAAAACGGGATTGGCAAGCAGCTATGAATGCAGGTATGCTAAGCGTATAACGAGCAATTTTAAATGATCACATGAAGACTTTTCCAAGTTAGGAGAGTATTTTTTCAGTTTGGCTAATCACACAACAACAACTGTTTGAGAGAACTGAGACAGTTTTTTTCCTAATTTTGAATTGTTGCTATGCTACGTTGTAAGAAATGAGGTTCAGTAAGACTATGCAGACTCTGCTGTCACGGTTTCCACCCTATGCCACTACAGTTGAGCGGTTTTTGCTGACACGAGTTGGGCTTTAAGTGTAATCAAGCAAACACAATAAGAGGAATAATGCAGAATAAATGTGTGTGTGGAGAGCTTATCTAAGAATTCATCATCAGTGGAAAAACTATTATGAACAAACAATTGAAACAGGTTGGTAAATATACTGCTTTGGTTGCCCTTTCCAAAAAAATCAGCCATTGTCTTCAAGGGTCACATGTGGCCCTCGTGTAAGTCAACACTGCTTGTTAGCAACCACCTTTCATTATATCGTATTTAACCATTTAATGTTCCAGTCTCCTAAAATTGCAGTCAGCACTTTCTGTTTATCATCTCAAGTACGAAAGTTGGAGGGGTTGGGGGATTTTTTTGGTCAGACCAACTAAACTTGGGGAAACAAAGCAATAGCATTTGTAATGGTGGCATAATTTCTTTTGATATGTGTTATGTAAAGGCCCCTAAACCTATCACGGGAAGAACAAGAAAATTGTGTTTAAACTATTTCCCATCAAAACAAATACATTTTGCTTTTACCTTGTAGGAAATTTAACTGTGGCAGTAAAACAAAACACACATGAACACTTGAGCTGAAAACTGCATTTCTCAAATAGAAGGAATTAAACAGCTAAAAGAAAACATCACTAACTTACTGTTAGAACTAAAGGGGTCTATGGCAGGGCATTGTTTGTGCCTGCCACTTTAAGACCAGAGCCAAGCAACCAGCAGGTGCCCGATTGTGGCAGCCATTTTGACACTGGCTGCCTGTATAAATAGTTCAGTTCCCTGCTGGCTGGCCAGGCAGCAACACTGCCTGGCTGCAAGGCTACTGGTATCATCCTGGAGGTGAGGGAGGAGCTGTAGGGGATGGTTAGGAGGGTTCTGGTCCTGGGCATGACCTAAAACTGCACGCTGCCGGGAGTGGGTGGCCTGGTGGGGCTCTCAGCAGTGTGGGAGCTCCTAGGAAATGCCAGGCCAGTTACCACCCCGGTGAAAGACGGGTCAGGGTGCCAGCTCCCACAACCGGGTGGGCCACCTGCTACTAGGGCCCAGAGGGCAGACCCAGGGGAGAGAGTGGAGCTAGAAATTCAGACCTCAGAGAGAGAGTACCCTCGACTGGTCAGTGCTGGGGCCAGGACCAGAATGGTCAAAAGGGCCGGGGCCCACCACGAAGGATGTCCAGAGCTAAGAGGGCCTAGGGTTTCCAACTGACCTTGGAGGTGAGGCCAGGGCCTGTATGGCCAAAGGTCCCAGGGGGACTACACCTGAGAGGGGAAAATAGTTTCAGGGAGCTAAATAGCCTGAATGAAGGCGGGTTAGGCTGCTGGAATGGAGGGATCTTGGAGGGGTCCTGATTAGAGAAGTCTGGGGCCCAGTGTGGGGCCAGTGAGATTAACATCAGTGGATGCCATCTGCGAGGCATGGGCTGCGGTATAGGGGAGGTACGGAGCCGCAGATAGCGCCCCCTGGCATTGGGGCAAAAAAATGGGCAGCCTCCCGGGTAATTAAGATTTCCAGTTAATTAACAACAAGGTATGGCAGGCGGGAAGGTGGATGGTTGGCCCAGAAACAGGCGGGGCGGGGCATAGGAAAAATCAGCCCCAAGAAGGCCCCTGTTACAGGATCCCTCTCCCATGCACCTTCCTAGTTTTAATGGAATTATGAAATTTTCCAAAAAATGCTAAAATAATAGTAATAATAATAATAATAATCCTGTGATCTGCCATAACTTTATTTTTTCCTCCTTTATTTTTGGTATTGGATTATAAATGAGTCTGAGTGGCTGTATCAGAAAAGAAATGGATGAACGTCTCTATATGAAACATTTTCTTTCTTTTTTATCCACAAATATTGCATCTTGACTGTCAAAGGAGAGTTGAAAATATATCAGTGTGTAACTATGTGGGAAAACTACTTGAGTTTTGATTTTTCTCTCTGTCCAGTTGGCCTTCATTAGATGACCAGAACTCAACGTGACAGCCTTCTAAATTTGTCTCCTCTACCTATAGTTTTCCCTCTCAAAAAGGTATTTTATCTAAAATATCAAATGTAGATCCAGGAAGGTCCTCAGTATCCTAGCCCTTGAGTAGCTTTGAGTTTTTAGAGAAATTGTAGAGGATACACCTGAAAGACATCTGAGGAGATGTCAGTGTTACCAGCAGTGGCTAACAGCCTCAATGACCACTCCTGCCATTGGGGGTTGCAGTGGACAATCAGAGAAGGATGAGAAGCTACCTCTTAATGGATACTCTTTACCACTTAGTTTTGTAAAGATTGTGCATGATAGACACTCTACTGTTAAGAGAACATCTTTAAACTGATATAGAATTAGATTAGCTGATGGTATTAATGTTATGCAAGAATAAAAAGGGGGAAAATTAGAATCCCAGAAATGGCATCTTTGGCTCCTAACAAACTGAAAAGCTCCCTCTGACTCTCTATGTCTCGTTTGACTAATGGTCCATTCTAATAGTTATACAAGAGAACTGCCAAATAGAATTGGGAATCTACCTGAAATTCTGTACATTATCGCCTAATTCATAGATTTTGGGAATATTCTGTAAAGTTAATCTTGAACGCAGATAACTAAACTGGGGTGTAACTGAACAAGCCTTAGAGTGTGCATCTACACGAGATGCTTCAGTCCACCGTAGACTAATCTACTGCACAGTAAATTGTCACAGTCTACATGTGTGGGACATTTACTGCATAGTAAATTAGGCTACTGCGCAGTCAGCTAGTACCTGTAAATAAAAGTACTAGATTAACTGCATGCTAGTTACTGCACAGTAGCACACTTGTAGACACTGACCAGGAGTAAATTTGCTCCCAGTCAGCCTAAGCAGCAGGGGGGCCATGGGGGACAGGGAGCTCTCTGTCCCCGGTTCTGGCTTCCCCCAGGAGCCAATCAACACAGACTTGAGAGCTCTCTGTCCCCATCCTGGCTCCCTGCTCCTAGCATTGAACTGGGAGCTCCAGAGAGCGAACAGAGACTGGAAACCCAGACCCCGCTGGCTCTCCAAAGCAGCTCTGTGCAGTGCGGAGCTGGGAACTCTAGCCCCCACGCACTATCCAGAGTTCCCAGGTCCACACCACAGAGAGCTTCTCTGAGGCAGGCTGGGACTGGGAACCCAATATGCCACAGGGCTAGGAGAGCCCTTCTGGCCCTGTACTCCTTGGCAGCCCCTGGACTAGCATCCAGGGGAGCCTGGAGTTGCCCTTGGCTGCTGCAGGGGGACAAAGCAGGGCAGGAGCAAATCTGCTCCCAACAGGGTACATGTGTAGATGTGCTCCTGGGGAAGGCTTACTGTGCAGTATTTTACTGCACAATAATCCTAAAATGAATTGATAGCAAGTGTAGACATGCCCAGAGGGGAGCAATTTACTGTTAGTGTGTATATACTAATATAAGAAGCATGGAGAACAAACAGGAAGAATTGGAGATCCTAGTACAATCAAAGAATTCTGAAACAGTTGAGATTAGAGGTGTCTTGGGATAGTTCACATGACTGGAGTACAGTTATGGATGAGTATAGCTTGTTCAGAAAGGATAGATGGGGCAGAAAAGGAGAGATGTTACCCTATATATACAAGTGAAGTACATGTGTTCTGAGATGCAGTAGGAAGTAGAAGGTAGGCATGTTGAAAGCATCTGGTAAAGGTCAGAGGGGAGAGCTGCCAGGGGGATGTCATGGTGGACATCTGGTACAGGCTACCAAACCAGAAGGAGGAGGTCAATGAGAGTGTATTTAAACAATTGACAGAAGTTCCAAATCATAGCACCTGGTTCTCAAAGAGGACTTTAATTACCAGGGCATCTGGTGGGAAGGAAACACAGCAGCGCACAAGCAATCTAGTAAATTCTTGTAGTGTGTTTGGGATGCAGAGAAGGCTGAAGTATTTACTGTATTTGCTAAATTCCAAGATGAGGAGGGGTTTTTCTCCCATTTATTATGGGGAAAACAGAGCTGCCTCTTAGAACAGACCATCACAGCTGGGAGCTGGGAGAAGCAGCTGTGCCAGGGAGCCCAGCTGGGACAGGGACAGAATCAGCAGCAGGCAGCAACAATGCTACTCCTTGTCTGGCTCTCCTTCCCCCATCCCCTCCCTTGCTGGCAGGGAGCCAGGGAGAGAAGGAGGACTCTGAATGATGCTGCTTTGGTTTCCAGCCAGCTGGGCTTCCCTGCACAGCAGCTCCTCACAGCCCCTAGCTGGAGTGGTGGAACTTTGTTGTGGCAGGCAGGGGGGGCCCTGGAGCCGACCCTGCACCACACAGATTTCTTCTTCTCTGCCCTGCTCCCTCCCTCTTCCTCCCTCCCCTCTCTCCCCTGCTAACTCTCAGGGAAGGAGAAATCTGCATGGTGCGGTACAGAGCCGGGTTCCAGGAACAGCTGTTTCCTGCAGCATGGGGCAGGAGCAGCTCTGGGATTTCACCTGTGCTCAGATCAGTGGGGAAAGTAGCAAAAACAGGAGGTAAGTGGTAGGGTGGTATTCACCAAGGGAGCAGGACACCTGCTCCCTCACCCTGCTTCTCCCTGCCAGCCCCCTCCCTCTGCTTTCTCCACCTCCTGCTCCTCACCCCTGCTCCCCACCCCCCTGCCTGCTCCCTTGCTTCTGCTTTCCCCATTGTCTGCCCCCTGCTGCTGTTTTCCTGCCCAGTAGCATGTGTAGGAGACAAATTTAAGAAGATTTTCCAATAATTAGATTCTAGACATGGAAAAATTATAACATGTATAATTTTCATTGTTTAGAATCTAATTATTGGAGGATCATCTTAAATTTAAAATTGTCTTGGATTCAGGTAAATACAGTAATGCCTTTTTTACTTTAGTCTTCACAAATAGGGACAGCTATCATATGACAAGTGCATTTGGCAGCAAAGATAGGGAAGGAGACATACAGCTTAGAGCAGGGGTTGTAAACCAGGGATACGTGCAGGCGCCGCCCTCTTGGCCGGGTGTGGGGGGCGGGGGAAACTCGCATGCGGTGGCTGCCACCACTCCACATTCAGCTGTGCTCCACCACCGCTACCCCTCCTCCCCTCCGCTCTGCGTCCAGCAACTGGGGATACAGTGATCCAAAAAGGTTGAAAACCCCTGACTTAAAGTAATGGCAGAACAGTTTACTTAGGTAACTTAGAAAACAGGTTACTTAGAGACACTAGATGCTTTCAAGTCAACAAGGCCAGACGGGATGCATCCTAGGGTATTGAAGGAATTGGCTGATTTTAGAGCCATTAACTATCCTGTTTGAGAACTCACGGAGGTCAGGTGAGGCCCTGGATGACCAGAAATGGGCAAATATAGTGCCCTCTCTTTAAGAAACGGAAGAAGGAAGATCCAGGAAACTACAGACCAGTCAGCCTGATCTCGATACCTGGAAAGATTTTGGAGCAGGTCATCAAGGAATCCATTGTGAAGCACATAGAGGATAACAAGGTGATGAGAAATAGCCATCATGTATTTGCCAAAAGCAAGTCATGCCTGACCAACCCGATTTCCTTACTATGATAAGGTGACAGGCTTTGATGAATGTTGGGAGAGCAGTGGATGTCATATGCCTTGACTTTGGCAGACTTTTGACACTGTCTCTCATGATATTCCCATTGACAAACTATGGAAATATGGGATAGACAACAGTACTGTAACATGGAAATATAACTGATTGGGTCATCATGCTCAACAAGTAGTCATCAATGGTTCATTGTGGATTTGGCAGGAAGTATCAAATGGGGTTCCCCCAGTACAATACAACATCTTCATTAATGATTTGGATGATAGGATTGAGTGCATGAGCAGTGTTGTGAATGACACAAAGCAAACATGGGTGGAAAGTAGACATTCTGGAGGGCAAGGCTAGGATCCAGAATGATCTGGATAGACTGGAAAAATGGTCTCTAATCAGTTAGTTAAATTAGATTCGGTAAAGGCAAGTGCAGAGTCCTTCATTGGGATGGTGTCATTGCATGCACAAATACAGACTGGGAATGAATGGTTTGGCTACAGCACTGCAGAGAAGGACCTGGGGTTTACAATGCACCAGAAGCTGAATGAGCCAATAGTGTGCTTGTGTTGTATTAAAAAAAAAAAAAAGCCAACAGCATCCAGGGTTCTGTCAAGCAATGTCACTTCCGAATCAAGGGAAATTATTCTTTCACTGTATTCAGCACTGATGAGGTCTTACTGCATCTAGTTCTGGGCCTCACACTTGAAGAAGGATGTGGATAGGTTGTAAGGAGCCCAATGCAGGGTTACAATAATGATTAGTGGCCTGGGAGGCAAGATTTATGATGAAAGGCTGAAAGAATTAGGGCTATTTAGTCTGGAGAAGAGAATATTGAGTGGTGATTTGATAACAAGTACCTGAAGGGTGATTAGAGAGGATGGAGATGAGCTTTTTCACAGTGTCTATGGGACAGGACTAGGAGCAATGGTCTCAAACTGCAGCAGAGGCAATTTAGGTTGGAGATTAGGAGGAATTCTCTCTGACATTAGGGCTATTTAGTCTGGAGAAGAGAATATTGAGTGGTGATTTGATAACAAGTACCTGAAGGGTGATTAGAGAGGATGGAGATGAGCTTTTTCACAGTGTCTATGGGACAGGACTAGGAGCAATGGTCTCAAACTGCAGCAGAGGCAATTTAGGTTGGAGATTAGGAGGAATTCTCTCTGAGGATTGTCAAGCATTGAAAAAGCCTATGTAGAGAAATTGTGGACCCTTCATCCTTGACAATTTTCTAGAGCAGATTGGGCAGGTGCTTGGCTGGGATGGTTTAGTCAGGGACAGTCCTGTCTTGAACAGAGGGATGGATGACCTTATGAGGTCCCTCCCTGCCCTACTTTCCTGTGATCCTATTAGACATGAATTCAAAAACTTCTTAAAATAAGTAATTTAGAAATATTGTTTTAGTGCTAGGAGGAATTGCAGTCCCAGCTCCCTTGGTAAAAGGATCACAGGTGGCAGGGAGCTGAAGCAGGAAACTGGTTGAGCTCTGGGAGTAGTTGTGTACAGTTCATTAAAAACATCAGCTCAGTTCTCAACAGAAAGGCAAACAAAATGTTAGACATTATTGAGAGGAATTGTAAACAAAATGGCAAGTGTCATTATGCCTCTTTATAAATCCATGGTGCATCCACACCTTGAATACTGTGCCCAGTTTTGGTCCCCACACCTCAAAAAGAGTATAGAAGAACTAGAGAATGTACAGAGAAGAGTAGCAAGGATGATTAGTGGTATGGAGGGACTTACGTGTGAAGGAAGACTAAAGTCCTAGTCAGTTTAGAAAAGAGGCACAGGAGACATGGGAAGGGTTTACAAAATAATAAATGGTGAAGAGAAAGTAATTAGGGATTTATTATTCTCTCTCACAGTACAAGAACTAGGGATCATAAATTGAAAATAGTGGGTATGAAATCTAAACTAACACAAGGAAGTTATTTCACACAGCATGTAACTAAAATATGGAACTCATTACCACCAGATGTTGTGGACACTGACAATTTAGCCAGATTCACAAAGGGATTGGACACATTCTTGAAAGAAAGGTGCATTGATAGCTATTGGGCCTGGGAGTTAGGGGTACAACCTCTGAATAAGTCTTCTCTATGCCTAAATGCCAGAGGCAGCAAGTGGGAGAGAAATAGTGGAAAAAACCCTGGTCATACCCAGTTCACTCTCCATTTCAGCATTCACTCTCTGCCAGTGTGACGCAGGATGCTGAGCAAGATGGACCTATGGTCTGACCCACTAAATGGCAGTTCTTATATTGTTATGGTTGCATTGTGTTCTTTGTTTTCTATTTGTTTTGATTCCTGTTTAATACGTTGTCATTTTAGCTTTGCTAACTTCTCTAAATTTCACCTGTACTAGAAGACTGCAGTGGTGGCCAGTTAGCAGGGGGAGGGAGTAGTTCAAAGTGGTAAGAAACTCAATGCCAACTTCCAAATAGGTGGGATGAGGTAGAAACAAAGGGCCCTTTGTGAATAAGTCATAGAGAGGACAGACTTTTTTTTAGAAGGCAGTTCCTAATATTTCATGTTCTTCATTCTTCAGATGTGGAAACAACTTCTGTGCAACTCATCGCTATGCAGAGACTCACACCTGCACATATGACTACAAGAGTGCGGGGCGGAGGTTTTTGCAGGAGACAAACCCTGTTGTTAGTGCACCAAAGCTTCCCAAAATCTAACTATGGTTGTGCTGCATGTGGCTGTTCTGCCAGGAGGAGTTGTTTATATTGAAAGAAGCATTGACTTAAACTGCATTATTTTGCCCTGCTCCACATCTAAAGATTTGCCAAGTAACAAAAGCACATGAGGATGCATTTCATTGAAGAATAATGTGAACACTACTGTAGCTGACACCTTTATTCTTTAGGGAATCAAAATTTTAAAAATAGTTTTTAAAAACTTACACTATGATTTAACTGTTATTGCACGTCTTGTGTTAAGTGTTTTATATTTGGCGAAACTATTTCACTAGACAAGTCTTTAAAAGATGCACTTTACTAAGTTTAATATTTACTGTATAACCAGACTTGAGGGGGTGCTGTGATGAGGGTGTCATGTACTGTCTTCTGTATTCGATCTTGTTTTTTGTCCATTGTGTGGTATCTTTAAGTTATTTCACTAGGAAGTTCCCCTCTTAATTCAAACCACCTGTTCAGCATTTCAAAGGGTGCCGTACTTTGTGCACCTCAGTTCCACTCAGATTGGCATTCATATATTGTGCATCCATTCTGCAAACAACGTATCATGTTAATCTCACTTTCTTAAAATACTCTTTATATGGCAGGTTTTTTTAAATAGAGGGTTTCCCCTTTGTTGCCATTAAATACAAGGAACAACTTATTTTAACTTTTTTTGTAATCCTGAATTTTTTAAGACTTCACAACCTGGTTTGTTAAGATGTTGAGTGCTGTTACCAGAAGAAATTCTAATAAATATTAAATTTTATTCTGGTTTCCATCCTCTCATAAACTTGAACTAACTTTTCATATTTTTACAGGATTTTTACAGTTAAGCATCTGTTGGGTCCCCCCTCCCCTTCATTAAGCCAACATTGACCACTTAAAATGCTACTTGACAGTATGGACAGGCATAATGCTTAAAAAGTTCTAAATACACTTCAAAACCTAAGAGTCTAGGCATGCACACAAGTTAAGACTGGTCTAAACTTCCTGAAACATTTTAGAAGCACACTGGAAAAATCAGGTACTGTTTTGAACCCATCCTCTGTGAACTGGCTAAACATTATGTGCAGGAATTTGCTGCCTAGTGTCTGGTGAGTCCTCCAGGTATCCTAAACTGTGTTGTTCATCACCTCCCCACCCCCATCCAAAACAAGGAACTGCAGGACAAGGGCCTGCTCTGGAAAGCAGCCAGGACTTTAGTACCTACTTGGACCACAGTCTATTGGTGGGGAAGTGGAAAGCCTCTATGTCTGTTCCACTTCCTGCCAGGGACCCTGGGCAGGCATCCTGGGCCCATTTGGGGCAAAGGATAGGTGGCCAGGTGCTCATGGTTTCGTGGGGTCTGAGTTCTCTGGGGGTCCCCCCAAGAAGACCACAGCTTTTCAACCCCTGCCCTGAAAGCTATTTTGTCAATTTTACTTGCGTGCAGGGACCCTATGCAGGGGTCCCAGGCTCATTTGGGGCAGGGGATGAGAGTGGAGGGGTTGCCAGGTGCTGGTGGAGGTGAGGGACACTGAGTGACCCTTGCTAGTGGTGCCTGGGGGGCTGGATGCACCAGGACCCTTCAGGAATCCTCATTTTTTTGGCTGTACTGGAAAGCATTGTCAATGTAACCTTGTTATGACCCTCTAGCTTCTGGGTCCCAGGCTCACGTTGGGGGGAGGGTGAGAGTGGAACGGTTTCCAGGTGTTGCACAAGGCTTGTTGACCCCTGCTTGTGGCTCCCGAGAGACTAAGTTCTCTGGGGCTCCCCAAGAACTCCCTGGCTTTTTGAATCCCTGCCCTAGAAACCTACCGTGTCCATTTCACCTCCCTAGGAGGTATCCTGGATATTACAGTACCCAGCCCTCCAGGCACCACAAGCAGGGACCACACAGACCCTGCCAGCATTTGGCTACCCCTCTACTCCTTCCCCCACCCCAAATGAGCCTGGGACCCCACTAAATGGAGGGCATTTCCTGTGATGAGGTCCAGGCTGTTCTGCCCCATACACACATCTGTGCGCCCCCATTCAACCACATACATTTTGATAAAGTGCAACAATGGTCTGCATTACACTTGAACAGTCTTTTTAAGTCACTGTTTTGAGGAGGAGCAGGAACTTTCAATTGTGGACAATGGCATCTTACTCTTGCTCGATATCCAGACAGTCTGGGTTTTCCATGCACTGATCCCTGGACGCTATGATGGTCTGTGTACTCTACCATTCCATGGTGGCATTTCAGCACCAATGCAGTCTCTGAAATATTTGGGTTCTGTTTAGAACCCCTTGCCACACAGGTGTGGATGCCTCTGTCCAGGGACAATTGTGAACTGGTTCCCAAGCAGTGATGTTCTTGGAACAGTTAGCTTATGTCTGTCTGCACCCAGAAACTCTACAAGGAAGACAGTTAAAGCCAATTGTGTGTTAAGATTCTTTACCAAATATTTAACACATTCAGTACAAGGTTTGATGAGATCTTACAGGGCCAGTTCAGTCCTTGGATGGAAGACCTCCAGAGAAACATGTAGATGTCCTAGAAAATGGTGTTAGTACTGAATTTCTTTTTCCTCCCACCCATTAGCTGTTAGGAGCTTTATACTCCTAGAGGTGTGCTGTATTATGAATAAATTTTAAAATCAAGCTCCTGATCACATCTAAGCTTTCTATGCCACTTTTGAAATTTTTGAATTAATGGTAGGCAGATTGAAAGATTTAACTTGAAAAACTATTCTGCTTGTCTTGCCAAGCTCCCCTGCCAGGTAACTGGATAAACTGCTGTGTAGAGTTATTACTCTTATTCCAAACCAAGAGTGGCACTTCAGCAGTGACTGAAATGGAATCCAAGCAACAGAGCAGGTCTATGTAGGTTTTTGTCATTTTTCATTTTTCACTAGGCCCCTTGTACATACAGCGAGTTTGAAGTTGCACCCAAATTGACAGCACTGTTACAGACACTCAGCCAACAGCACAACCTTATGTGCAAATAGCAAATAAAGCAATTAATTATAAGACTAATTTGTATATCGGCAGATCTCTCCATTCATGTATTAGGCTGCACTACACATCATCGTTTACTGTGTAAACTTTCCTAAGTGGACTGGATTTCAGAGGAGGATATGGTACGTTATAATATTACACATCTGGTGTTGAAAAATGTTTAGTTTTTGTACACGGGTTTTGTGGTGTAATTGGAAAGTACCCTAAACTGCTTACAGTGGTAGCTTAAAAGCAACCTTGTTTTTGGCCCTCCTTTTCATTTTTACTTACTCTTTTATCTATAAGCAGTGAGAAATGTGAAGGCTGCTCTTTCAAGCTGGTTAATAATAACCTGTCTGCCTGCAGTTTCCATCTCAATTGTTTGGTTTTCAGTGCCTTGGAATAGAATTGCAGTAGTAACTTTGTTTCTTTTTCTGGCACTTTTGACCTTTAAAACCATGGCACTGCCTTTTAGATGTGAATTATGAGTTAAACCTGATTGTACTGGGCTGTCTTCCCCACCCTAACCTTTCAGTGGACTTCATCCTGAATTATGTTGATGACATCCATGTCAGGTTTCTCAGGTTTCTCTTGTGTTGATTCAAGTGAAGTAGCTGTTACCTTTGCAAGAGGTGAGGACATTCTGCCAGTTCTTTCATCTTCCAAAAATAGCCCTTCATATTCACTGTGACTTAGCACGTTACCCTTAGCAGCCCCCTCCTTTCTCCAGTGGAAAACCTCCCTCTGAGTAAATAAGTATCAGTATTTCCAAGGATATTATGTGGTAAACTCATGATATATGTATGTATGTATGTATGTATGTATGTATGTCATAGGAAGGCAGAGAAAAAACACTGGCACTCCTAGGGGAAGTATGCCTGTCTGAGGGCCCTGTCAGTTGTCAGTGTGCATGTGCTGGCACCATCCAACAAATGTGTGCCAACTACTTTGGGATGACATCTACTATTTGTGCCTGTATTATAATTCCTTGAAGTGCTTGCAAAGTGAAGTGCTTTCAATGGATTGGATTGTAAGGGAGGGGTGTTACCATATTTGTAAATTCCCTAAAGCGGATTAGGCCCAGTTTAAAGACAGAGGTAAAAAATCAAAACTATGTTCAACAAAGTGACATAGACTTGTGCTTCTGTTTCTCAGGGCATTGCCTAGCTTTAAGGAAATGTTAGAATATCGCAGGGGATATTTGTTTTTCATGTGCAGAATTGTTACACTTCACTTCCACAATGGAAATTCACTACTCTTTGGTCCAGCTTCCTGCTTTTCTTTTCACTGTCTTGTTTTATATTTGTCTGTTGTTGTGACCAGATGTTGATTATGCCGAGTGAAAGGACACTTATTTGGAAGTGGGGTCAGTTTCAGGTTAACTGCATGTATCCTGTTTGAACCATCCTTTGTTCAAAGGGCATGCAGAACTACAGAAGTGAAAGGACTTAACCTAGGGAGACTCAGAGCTGTTTTTTCTGCTTGTTAGAAAAGGCATATTGCTTGCCTTTTTCATGTCCTGTGACAATGCATTTACCAGAATTTGCAGATTCATTAGAAACTGACAGGGCTGCACTGTAAGCGCTTTTGCTATGGCCTCAAACTTTGACCTCTGGGCTGTCAACCATGCACGTTAGCACCCACGCCACCCCGGCCCAGTGTGCCTGGCCTGATAAGTGGATTGTGTTACAACAACCAAGCACTGGTCCTGTGGGAAATTGGTAATTCTGTTGCATGACAGCAAAGGCCACTAGATGTCAGTGATGTCATCAACATGAGACCAGACTGAGGACAAATCAGAGCCAAGGGTGTCCACCATACGGGGTCAGATTTGTCTGCTGTTTCTAGTCTGATCTATTGCTGTTCTGCACTGATACACTGTAGGCTACGCCCTTATTTTTCTAGATACCTTAAGCAGTGAAGTGCAATCCCTTTACGTATTTTCTTCCCATATTCTTCAATTTGGGTTTCTCATGTGTTCTTTAAATACATCCTGGTGATTTTCATCCTTCCTTCTGCTTAGTAGAGATGTGGGTGCTCTCTGGCTCTTGCTCTTGCTCTCTCTTTCTTCCTCCACCTTTTTGGTGTTGGTTTCATGATATCTCAAGCAGAAAATCCATTGTCCCCCACCTCAGATGTTCCATGATAGGTTAGCATATTATCCTTAGCAAAGGGATCATACATTAGCTCTTTCTTCGCTCAGCAACTTGAGTCAGGTTTCACAGGAGACTTCCTGGGGAATCTTACCTCTTGGTAACTAGTTTCATGGTTGTTATCAGGGCTGCTGATGCTTTAGATCCCTTTCTTCAGTCATTCTTAAGTTCACTACTCACATGGCAGGCCTGGCTTTTCTGTAGCTGTCAAAGAGTAAAGCTCAGGGGTTCAATCCTACTTGAGCTGAACCTCTGAACTGCAACCCCACCCCTGTTTACCAGCCCAGCTGGTGTTTGATACTTCTAAGCCCTTCTCCTCAGGGACCTGTGGCTGCAGCTGATTAAAATAATTTTAAAAACAGCTGCTTCAAACAAGGCACTCTTTATTTGCCAAATGGAAGACATTGGCTAGGATAAAAACAGCATCCTTATGAATGTTTTCTTGCCTAAGCTTCATACCTTTACTCATGTCATGACTCAGGAAGTTCCTACTTATTTCAGGACCCCCTCTCCTGCTCCTCCCCTTGCCCACACACACTGATGAGCAGGGATCCTGGTTTTCTCTAATTAAAAATTGCAAATTCTCTGATTAAAAACCCAAAATACATGATAAAAATTAAAGGCC